AATTACAATCCCTGTGGGTTCAACACTCTTAACTCAATCATTATATTACAAAACTTGACACCGTACACTTGCGGCATAAATTCACGTTGTAGAAAACGCATGACAACCATCTTCGATTTTCCCATTAAGCTGTAAAGACTGAACGATAACAGATTTCGTATTAGGGATTCTAATTTTTGCCATTTTAGTTTGCTTTGTTTTCACTAAAGTTTTGATTTGTGCCATAGTAATCCAACATACTTAATCCATTAAAGAATAGCTCACAAAACTTTATAATGATGAAAAAAGGAGGACTGTTAGACTCGTTAGACCAGTAGGACCGTTAAATCCAACAAAGGAATCATAAGATTATACAATTTTAAGATCCTACAATAGGATCAGATCATTTTTTCATTTTCGGATTGTAGAATTATAGGATTGTAAGATCTGGATTGGGAGTTTCACAACCATGCATGCATTGCACAAATGCAACAAATATTTACCGTCATAATTGTCATTTCACATTATCCAATCTGTAGTTTTCTGGATTATACCTTCATGCATGGTCTTAAACTAGTTTCTAAGCCAGAGGTTTATTTTCTGACACAAGCTTCAGCAGCGACAATGCAACTATAGTTCTTGATCAGCTGAGGTACATATTTTGAACTATCCTACTTGCATGTTTCTAAATCTTCTTGTTATTTCGAGAAGCATTATAATAATTAAAAAAAAATGCCTTCTCCATTAGATCCATACGGTGTGTACAAAAACAATTAAAATATATTTCTAATCACGAGGATAAGATGCACAAAATATCAAAAACTTATAGTACATGTTTGGTTTAGATAAAAATCAAAGTTTTAGTAAATTTAATAAAAGTTGACAGAGTGTGTGATTGAAAAGTTGAAGGTCCCATGTAATGTGGGTTTAAAATTAATTGTTGACTTTGATTTCATTTTAATCAGTTTTTTTAGCTGAACCAAACATGGGCATAATATATCTTGAAATTGATTATTCAGCATAAAACGCTACTCAAGTTGCTCAAGCCTGATTTTTGACAAGTAAAGCCAGCACAAGTTGGAGCATCTAAAAAGCACATCAGCTCATTTCATTCTTATCATGGAGTATGTTCTAATGATTTTGAAACTTAAGTAATGTATAAATTGTTATTTCATGATCTGTTGGACAACATAAATTTGTTAGTGGTACTGGGGATTTTCCTTTTAGGAGTTTTGTAGAAGACAAACCCAGTCTCATGATTCATTACCTTTGCAGAATATAAGATCACATCTTCTTTGTTCAACTTGAGAGAATGACTACTTCCATGGGATGCAAGATTCAATGCAGCACGTGGTTCTGCCTGACATAATTGAACACATAGTCACATGATAGTCTCAACAACTA